CTTTTGCCCTGTCCCCGCGCTACCCCTGTAATCAATAAAGTGCTCCTTTGTGACCGGTGTGGAGACTTATTGAGGGGTGGGTCTAAATTATGCCGAGGGGGCCCCTTAGGTCTGTGGACTAAGGGAGACTTCCCTAATAATCCCCTGATTTGGGAAGTGCCCCAAGTGCCTGTATTGGGTCTAGCACCCATTGGACGATCAGGCCTGTGTTCTCCAAGGTGCGCAGAGCCAGAAGTGAGTCCAGAGCCTTGGATGGTGGCAGCGGGAACCCCAGGCTAGCGGGTGTGCTCCAGGGAAGGGGTCGGCCGGACGGGAGGCACCCCAGGGAGGCACTCGGGGCCTGGAAGGTGGTCGGGCGCAGGGAGGTGGGCGGCTCAGCGCAGGAGCGCCCCCTACTGGCCCGCCACACAGGCGTCTTCTGAACCGTGCAGGATGCAGCGCACAAGCCCCGCACCCTGCCCACAACCACCGGTGACACCGGTCTCCGCCCCACACCCCCGGCCTCTCATCTCACCTGGGCCTGCCCTGGGCACACGCTTGTCTGGACGGTTTGGTGAGGGCTGGAGCTGCTGTGAGCAGGGGCTGGACGAGAGGAGGCCTTGGGCGGTCCCTTCCCGCCCCACTTCCCCGTGATCCTGCCGCAACCAGCTCTGAGGACGGTTTTACCCAGCGCTGGGACACAAGCGGACACAGGATGGGAGAGCAGGGCTGAGCGCTGCCCTCGGGACCCCGGAGCACAGAGACTGGGGCCGCGACTCTAAGGCTGGGCCGGGACCGACACCCTGCTCTTCCCCGGGACCAGGTTTCCCAGCTTCCCGGTTGGCCGCAACACTCCCCGGCACTGGTGAAGGCCCGGGTCGCCGTGCAGGGAGCGGAGCCGGGCGCTGCGCTCGGGGAGCCAACCCTGCTGGGCCCTGAGCCCCCGCCCCCACCGCGGGCCGGGCAGGAGTCCTTGCAGGGGGCACCCGGGAGCCCCTCGGCCCCTGTCACCTGCTCCCTGCGGGGCCGTGTCCTGCCTCTCCCCGCCCGCCGGAGGGGCTGCGCTCAGGGACGGGGCTGCCCAGCCACAGCTCGTTCCCAAGCTGCTCACTGCCTTCGGGCAGAGGTGGGAAATGATTTTGCCTAGAGGCCAATTAACAGGTTTGGGTGAGATGTTGAGGGCCGCAGATACAACACCTTTCAGAAGAAACCATTTTAACAAATCGTAGATATAACAAACAAGTCATTTGCTAAAAATGAAACATCTGCTTAGCCTCTGCTATGATTCTGCTATCACGTATTTTCATTTTCTGTCAACAAATAATTTTTGCCTTGATTGATGTGATTTTGACTCTTGTCAACAGAAGTGCTTACACTGCAGCTCCCGATAAAGTCTGAGTCTTGTACATTGTGAGTGGGGTGTGTGGGAGTGGGCAGCAGCTCCTCCTCTGGGTCAAATCCCTCATGCTGACACATGGAAGCTCTCCAAGGCTTCGCTGTGCAAGGCCATTCCCTCACCATTCGCCCTTTTACACACACTCGTACATAAAGGCCATGCGGATTTCATCCGCTTATGCCAAGCAGAAGGATACAACATGGAGTTTGCAAGTTGCCTACAGGACAAGACTAACATGGTTGTATTTTACTATTATTACACTCTATGTTAACATCAGCTATATTAGTTCAGTTCATGCTACAGTTCCCCTGGCCCAAAGCCCCCCATGCCCCACACCAGCCCCAGCCTACGTGCAGGCCCAAGCCCGGAGGCTTTGGGTTCAGATGCCCCCGAGTTTCACTGGCCTCCAGCCGTACGGCTGCAGGAGCAAGCCTGGGAGAAGTCTCCCATTTCCATAAAGTTGGCATGTAACTGAGATCCTCCCACTGGAAGCTGGCCAGTGGGAAGCTAACTATGGGGCTTTCATAGGGACCCCTGTCTGCAAGAACAGAAGGGTGCGACCCTCCACTACACAGTGCCATCTTCATTGAATTGCCTCAGTCAGGGTACTTCCCCTGCCAGGTATCTTAGCCCACAAGAGACCAAAAAACAAGCAAAAATGGGCAGTTTTGTTTTTTTTTGCGGGTGGGGTTCTCTTAGATACAGAAAGACAGATACAAAGACAGATACAGATGACATAGATATAGACAAATATAGATACACATTTAAAACGCGAGAAACCGTTACAGCGGTTGCACCCCGCACGTCTGCCCACAGTCCTTTCCTTAATAAAATGCTCGTTTTCACCCCTTGTGGTTTACACTTTGTGCACTTACTCCCTGTCTTTGTTGTTGTCACTCTCGCTGCTGCTTCCACGGCTGTTGACACTGCAGTTGTCATGGTCGCTGTTTCAAGGCCCGGGTGTGTTGGTTGTTGTCTTCATTATTGCTGACAACTCAGGCTTTCAGAGTGTCTTTGAAAGGCCATTGCCAGGTGGAATTGGCCGTGCCTCCTCTGTCCTCTTCCACCGCTTTCCTGCCAAGAACACACAGATGCCAGGGTGATAGGCGCCCCTGGGAGCGGATGGGCGGTGGGGCACGGTCCAGGTGGAGACAAGAGCAGCCCTCAGGGCCCCCAGCAAGGCAGCCTCGTGGCACTGGGCTGGGGTCTGGCTGCATCCGCCCCAGGGGCACGAGGGCCGGGGAGCCCAAAGCAGCTGGAGGAAAGGCGGGGGTGTGGCGCTCTAGGTCAAAGAGCAATACACGTCCTCAACTAGCAGGATGGGGTCAGAGGAGGGGCACGCTGAAGTGCTCTGGGCCAGGATACGGGGGGTCAGGGGAAAAGGGACTTAACGGTGGGGGTCTACTACAGACCATCAAACCAAGGGGAAGAGCTGGACCACGAATTCTTGGGTCAGCTTGCAGAGGCAGTTAAGGCAAGGGATGCTATTGTGGGTGATCTAAACTAGCTGGACACCTGCTGGGACGAGCAGTCAGCCAGGTCGCACCGCTCACAGAGCTTCCTGGCTGAGATACAGGACTTCCATTAACCCAGGAGGTGCACAGTCCCACTGGGGGAATGCCCTGCTGGACCTGGTCCTGGCCACAGGCGACGACCTGGTAAGAGGGCTTGAGGTGCTTGACCACCTGGGTGATAGCGATCATCGCCTGCTGGAATTCACCATCCAGCGCAGGGTGCCAAGGGCCTGCAGCAAGGCCATAGCCCTGGAATTCAAGAGGGCCAGCTTCAATGAGCTGAGATTGGTGGGAGAGGCGCTGGGATCCTCGAGAGAAAGGGAACTCAGTGCCCAAGACGAGCGGTCATTCCTTAAGGAGACGATACTCAGAGCCCAAGGGGTGTCAATCCCAACAAGAAGCAAAGGGGGCAAGAGTGCCCCAAAGCCCCCCTGGCTCACCAAGGGCATTCGTGAATGCCTGCTTGCCAAAAAGGAGGTATACACCCAGTGGAAGGGAGGGGCTATCAGGAGTATACTTCCACTGCTTGAGTCTGTAGGGGGGCTGTTAGAAAAGCTAAGGCAGATATGGAGCTAGGGCTAGTGTCAAGGATCAAAGATAATAAAAAGTCCTTTTTTTAATATATAGGGAGAATGAAGAAGGCCACAGGTAATGTGGGGCCCCTGCAGGATACACTGGGCAATCTGGTGGTTGCACCAGAGGAGACAGCAGACCTCTTTAACAAATTATTTGCCTCCGTTTTCCAATGCAGGGACTGGGACTCCCCTGCTGAGATTCAGGATGGACTTGGGAGAAATGTCACCAGGCCTAAGGTCGGGGAGGACCGGGCTAGAGTGCTTCTGGAGGGGCTGGACATGCTCAAGTCAGCAGGTCCAGATGCTCTCCACCTCAGGGTGCTGAGGGAATTGGCAGAGGTCATCGCGGGGCCCCTGGCACGGCTTTATGAGCACTCGTGGTGCTCGGGCCAGGTGCCAGATGATTGGAAGATAGCCAATGTGGTCCCCATCTTTAAGAAAGGGAGGAGGGAGGGCCCGGGGAACTATAGGCCCCTCAGTCTTACCTCAATCCTGGAGAAACTCTTTGAGAAGATCATCAAGGAGCACATCTGTGATGGGCCGGCATCGGGGATAATGCTCAAGGGCAACCAGCACAGTTTCATTAGGGGCAGGTCATGTCAGACCAACTTGATTGCCTTTTATG